TGCCAGTGGTAGAACTGCACCAGAGATCGAAGTCTCTAAAATTTTCTTCGCTGATTGAGATAGTTAAGATCATGAATCTATTCAAAAACATTCTGTACAGGGTCTATTAAAGAAGCAGAGCCATTTCTTGATAAGTTAAATTATGATTGTTATCTTCAGAAAACAAGATTAGAGGAATTTTTTCTCTGCTTACTTATGTCACTTGAAATTAGGTGTGAAAATCAAGCCCCTCATTGGACAAAGATTGAAGAAAGAATACTTGCATTAGACCCAGGTGTTGGAACATTTCTTGAAAACAAAAATTTCTAGTTTTTAAAATTTATTAAATATAGCATATTGCATTTTTCTTTTTTAATTATTTTTATATTTTCAGTTTAATTAGAGTTGAACTTGATATTTATCGCTTTGCGCAATCGAAATCTCGTGATTTTAAAGAACTCGCATTTTGGTGGCTCCCTTTTATTATCTTCTGCATCTATTTTGGATAGTTTTCTGATTTAAATTACATTAGATAGCTTTTGAATTAACAACAATGTTGTCATATATATTAATGTTGAACAAGTATTTAAGATTCATTTAATATAAATATTATAATAATTATTGATATTAAGAACTAGCACATTATTTTTTTAGTTTCTAAATATGAAGCAACTCTATATGAATAATTATCAGCAATAGTTATCTTTTCTCTGTTCAGATATCTTCATAAAATTGTCATACTAGTATGTGATAAAGCATCTATAGCTTTCACAAAAACTCCCATTAAGTTTACAAAAAGAAATATACCTTTCTTAAATATAGCTAGTTTAGAATTCTGGTTGCTGATTATCCCTTAAACCATTTCTTGTACAATTTGTACTGAAATTCTTATTATCAAATTTGATCAGGTTTTGTTAAGTTATTTTGATTTAAAGTTTTAAAAAAATTTACTAAAAAAAATTTGCTTGGTTTCTATTGACCCACTCCATATATTGATTTGTATTCGTATATTTGCGAATCTCAACATCATATTAAAAAATATTGTGGATGATGCTGAAATTCAAATGATCACATCCGCGACAAAAAAAATATCAAAATTTAAATGTAAAAAGAAAAACTCTCATGAACAATTAAAAGCAATCTGTTTTATATTTCAATTAAGTCTTAATTCTATGATTTATTTTGGTTTGATCTTTAATAATTTACTTTCAGATAAGAGATTTAAGCACTTGATAAGTTATTGCATAATTATTTAATAGACTATTAATACAATAGTTAAATAACCTATAATTTTCTTCAATTATTCCTTCTTTAAACTACTCATTCTACCTTTCAAATAATAAACAAATAAATCTTTTTGATCGGCTTTTATTTTTTTGTAGGTAGCATAAATTAGGGAAATTTCTTCTTTTAGAATATCAAAGATCTCATATTCACTTGAATATGAAATATGTTTCTTAAGTTTTTTATTTGTTTGCTTCTGGAACTGCACCCATAAGTCATTGTCATCTGTTAATGAATTTCCAACGATTAACCATTTACCGTTAGTAAACTTTGAAATTATTTCGTATAGGTCAAGATAATCATTTCCATTAGAAATTTCTTTATTCTAAATAAAAAGATTGCAAAAGTATTTTTGACTGAAAGAGACTTGAATAGTAGAATATATGTCGGTTGTGTACATGTCTTTAACATTAAGTCCACTTGATAGTAATAATTTTTTTATTTTTTCCGATAAGGAGGAGTGATGCACGATTTTGTTGTTTTTAAACATGATAAATATTCTATTAAGTTATATGCCTCATCATTTTCCCAGTTAAATAAATACTGTTTTATATAAAAGAAAAAATTTTAGTTTCTTATTTTAATATACATATTTTAATATACACAATCATTTATTAATTTATAAATTAAAAAAAAAATCAACAGATCTTTGACAGTTTTAGAGTAAACTATTAGTTAATTGTAATTCAAATCACTGTCACTACATAGATTATTGAATAATCATTCTTCAAGAATTAAGTTTAGTGATCTGATTTTTATTATTTTTAAATTAAATAAATTTAAAACGTGGGTCATTAATTTATATTGTTATACCAATATATATTGTATAAAATGGTTATTTGGTCACTTGTTATATTCAATTAATCGGAGTTGATACTATATAACTTAAATTAAAAATTAAAATTTCACAAATAAATTGTATATAATTATATAAATAGAAACATGCTGTTATAAATATATTTTGAAACCTTAATTCATAGAATCCAATATTTGTGAAATTTGTATTGAGTAAATAAAAAAAGATAAAACTCTTTTTAATGAAGAGAGTTTGAGTATTTACTATAACAGGATTACTTGTAGTTAGTAGAATAGTTTTTATTTAACTATTCATATCAAAATATAATAAACTTTGATTAAAACCTAGCTTTCTAAATAGATAATTTTTAAATCTAGTTGGATCAAAGAGAACGAATTATGTTTATGCCTTAAGACATTTATATGACATATAATAAGTGGATGCTCTATGTAACACGCACACACATGATAAAACTTCATTTTTAAAGTAATATTTCTAATTCCCTTTAAGCAACTCAAGCGCCTAGTTATATTTAATATAAATAAATATACTAATTCGACCATTCTTATCCTTATTTTTCAAATTAAATACTGAATGGGATTGTATGAAATCAATTTTATACAATTTTCTAAAGTTAAATAGTTGGGTTGAGTCAATAGAAATCAAGCAAATTTTTTCTAAGTAAATTTTTTTGAAACTTTAACCAATAATAACATTCACAAAAACTTTATTAAAATTAATAAACATTTTTTTGAAATAAATATTACAAATTATAGAATTCATTTAAAAAAAATTTTATTAAATTTGATAAAGCTTTTGTTGAGTTATTGTTGTTTAAAGTTTTAAAAAATTTTAATAAAAACAATTTGCTTGATTTCTATTGACTCACCCCCAGTTCATTTAATGCTGTAATATAAAATATGTATATAATACATTATATTAGAGTGTCTGTGGCATATAATTATGTTTGCTCTGTATTGTCTCCATAAGATAAACGTGATTTTAATCATTTTTTAAAAATAAAATATAATACAAAAAAATATTTTTAAAGTGAGCAGAATTATGCATCGCAAAATTCAGGACACTCTAGTTTAATATCTGTTTATATTAGCCTTTATCATCATAAAATTACATTTATTTGTCATCAGGTACAAGCTAATGGATAAAGCTTTTAAATCAATTTCTTAACAACTAAAATTAACTGTGGAGAAATATGATAGTGAAAATCTTTTGGGAATTTGTAGGTTATTGATTATTTGAATAGCCTCAAAAATCATATTTTTGTTACTAAAAAAAAGTTTTTAAATGAAGCTATAAATGCATTTAAAAAAAAACAAGATCCAGAATATGCTTTCAAAGTTTTTGATAAACTTAAAGAAAGCAAATTTAATAATACTTGTAGGACCGCCAGGTATTACTTAGGCCTTTGCTATGAAGGTGGTGTTGGATGTTTACAAAATTTAAATGAAGCTAAAAAGTGTTATAAGTCTGCTGAAGTATTAAATTTAGATGCCCAAAAAAAAATGCGTAAATCAAATTTTAAGTCTCAAAAACAGAAGTAGAGTATTTCTGTACTAGAGTAATTTGGTAGATTTGTAATTGTTATA